TTTTGTTTTATTAACTGACTTGAACGCGATCGAAGCACACACAGAAGGTGCTACACACAAGCACAGTAACATGTAATAAGATGTGTCGATATACACACAACGCCCGGTTCTGTACTAACGATTAAGTTTACATGTCGGCGTGTTAAGCATTCACCTTTCGATGCACTCGTTCATTTTTGTGTGCCTGCCAAGTTTTGTCCACGCAAATTACTTTAGACACATAAGTCTGTTGTCGATTAGATGTTAGTAAAACCGTCTCACAGTGCATTCCCCGACGTTTACCCGTACCTGATTCCAGCGCTGGGCCGGTAGGAAAAAGACAGCTTTCAGATAGCGGTACGAGAGTCGTACAGAGGAAGACATGTGTCTTGGTGGGCCGGGTAAAGGGGTGCTCATCATGTAATATTTTCATGCTGAGCAGTGGATACTGTAGCCAACTTTAAGTGTGGAGACGGCACATTTTAGGAAATAGAAAGCATATGAACCGGCAGTAAGCCGAGGTTTAAGAAATTTCTGGATCCCTGGGTCCATGGCAACACCCCAGCAAATATTCCCAGCCTTGGTGGGTCCATGGCAACACCCCAGCAAATATTCCCAGCCTGGGTGGGTCCATGGCAACACCCCAGCAAATATTCCCAGCCTGGGTGGGTCCATGGCAACACCCCAGCAAATATTCCCAGCCTTGGTGAACCGAAGGCCCATTCACCTTGCCTGTTTCAACGGGGAACCCATCAACAGCCAGGGCAGGTGGCTTTCCTTGCCTGTTTCAACAGGGAACCCATCAACAGCCAGGACAGTTGGCTTTTCTGGCCTGTTTCAGCAGGGACCTCAGCAACAGTCAGGGCAGGTGGCTTTTCTTGCCTGTTTCATCAGGGAACCCATCAACAGCCAGGGCAGGTGGCTTTTCTGGCCTGTTTCATCAGGGAACCCATCAACAGCCAGGGCAGGTGGCTTTCCTTGCCTGTTTCAGCAGGGAACCCATCAACAGCCAGGGCAGGTGGCTTTCCTTGCCTGTTTCAGCAGGGAACCCATCAACAGCCAGGGCAGGTGGCTTTCCTTGCCTGTTTCAGCAGGGAACCCATCAACAGCCAGGGCAGGTGGCTTTCCTTGCCTGTTTCAGCAGGGAACCCAGCAACAGCCAGGGCAGGTGGCTTTCCTTGCCTGTTTCAACAGGGAACCCATCAACAGCCAGGGCAGGTGGCTTTTCTGGCCTGTTTCAACAGGGAACCCATCAACAGCCAGGGCAGGTGGCTTTCCTTGCCTGTTTCAACAGGGAACCCATCAACAGCCAGGACAGTTGGCTTTTCTGGCCTGTTTCAGCAGGGACCTCAGCAACAGTCAGGGCAGGTGGCTTTTCTTGCCTGTTTCATCAGGGAACCCATCAACAGCCAGGGCAGGTGGCTTTTCTGGCCTGTTTCATCAGGGAACCCATCAACAGCCAGGGCAGGTGGCTTTCCTTGCCTGTTTCAGCAGGGAACCCATCAACAGCCAGGGCAGGTGGCTTTCCTTGCCTGTTTCAGCAGGGAACCCATCAACAGCCAGGGCAGGTGGCTTTCCTTGCCTGTTTCAGCAGGGAACCCATCAACAGCCAGGGCAGGTGGCTTTCCTTGCCTGTTTCAGCAGGGAACCCAGCAACAGCCAGGGCAGGTGGCTTTCCTTGCCTGTTTCAACAGGGAACCCATCAACAGCCAGGGCAGGTGGCTTTTCTGGCCTGTTTCAAACAGGGAACCCATCAACAGCCAGGGCAGGTGGCTTTCCTTGCCTGTTTCAACAGGGAACCCATCAACAGCCAGGACAGTTGGCTTTTCTGGCCTGTTTCAGCAGGGACCTCAGCAACAGTCAGGGCAGGTGGCTTTTCTTGCCTGTTTCATCAGGGAACCCATCAACAGCCAGGGCAGGTGGCTTTTCTGGCCTGTTTCATCAGGGAACCCATCAACAGCCAGGGCAGGTGGCTTTCCTTGCCTGTTTCAGCAGGGAACCCATCAACAGCCAGGGCAGGTGGCTTTCCTTGCCTGTTTCAGCAGGGAACCCATCAACAGCCAGGGCAGGTGGCTTTCCTTGCCTGTTTCAGCAGGGAACCCATCAACAGCCAGGGCAGGTGGCTTTCCTTGCCTGTTTCAGCAGGGAACCCAGCAACAGCCAGGGCAGGTGGCTTTTCTTGCCTGTTTCACCAGGGACCCCAGCAACAGCCAGGGCAGGTGACTTTCCTCTTTAGTTTAAAATACTTATAGGTTTTCTATCATCATCTTCTTCGCGTTCACATGCTGCTGGAAAGTCAGGCGGAAAATTGTAATTGTTCGTCCACTCCTGGATTTTCATCTTGATCCAGAACTTGGGTTTTGCATGCACATCCGCTATACAGGTCTACTTTATTTGTATGCAGACTGTTGGTTTGGTGTCCCAGGCAGATGTACTCCGACTGTGAAGGAGACACCCCTAGTTAGTTGCCACCTACAACATGCCTGTTAGGATGCCGGGGCTGTTGTCCTTGTTCACTAAAACTCTGGTGGAAAGTTCTGGTTGTTCGTCCACTTCTGAACTGCAGTCCTGCTCCAGAACCTGAGTGTTGAGTGTGCATCAGTTTTACAGATCTGATTTACTTGAATCGGACTGTTGGTTCCTTGCCTCTCCGGCAGATGCACTCCGACTTCAAAGGAAGCTCCCCAATTAGTCGACTCTTACGACATGCTTTTGGGGAGGCAGTGGGTCTATTCTTGTTTTCCCCACGATGGGAGCCCGGAACCCACACGGGGAGATACACTAAATGATGGAGATAATTATTCTACACTTGTTAGTATGTCTTATGTTTAAAGCTTAAAAACATGATTATACGTGAAGTATTATATCACTCCTAGTCGCCTCCAGAAAAACCAGAAAAACCAAAAACATGCTGGAGTTGGTTCTGCAACGTCCTGTCAAGACAACGGAACTAACTTTTTTTTAAAAATAATCACTAATATTGCCAGTGCTTCAGTCACCAATATTGCCATTGCTACAATCACCAATATTCACAATGCTACAACCACCAATATTCATAATGCTACAACCACCAATATTGCCATTGCTACAATCACCAATATTCACAATGCTACAACCACCAAATATTCATAATGCTACAACCACCAATATTGCCAGTGCTACAATCACCAATATTGCCAGTGCTACAATCACCAATAATGACAATGCTACAATCACCAACAATGCCAGTGCTACAATCACCAATAATGACAATGCTACAATCACCAATAATGACAATGCTACAATCACCAATAATGCCAGTGCAACAATCACCAATAATGACAGTGCTACAATCACTAATATTGCCAGTGCTACAATCACCAATATTGCCAGTGCTACAATCCCCAATAATTCTTGTGCTGAAATCCTCTATATTCCACATGCCCTTGTTGTTTCTACTGTCAGGTACCCACCTTTGTGTTGTTATCCCTATGCCTCTCCTTCCAGGATCCATATCTTCTGGAAGTGTTCCTACTCTTAAACCATCGTTTCGTTTATATGGCCCCAGTATGTCGATTTCCCAGACAGCGTTACTATTCTTAGCTAGGCCCCTGTAACACAGGGCGGGGTGTGTAAATATCACTTATCAATTCTGTTTTTGACTTCTAGTGGCAATAAATTATAAGAGATTATGTTCCTGATTACAGACAGCTCGGTGTCTATAAGAGGTGGTGTTTCTCCTATGTGTGTGTGGGTTACACCACCCATTAGCTGTAATCCTGGGTATGCAAGCTTACGTTTCTGCGTCAGCCTGAGGAAAATCTCCCAGTCTTAAATGCACATTTATCAGTAACCCGATTCCTTGATTATTTTGTGTTACTTCCGCTTTCTTGTGCATGAGGGTTACAGTGAGTCTGTGCAAATCCATTTACCACTTTGCCGGTTATTTACTTCCATCCTTACCCCCAGAGTATTATCATCAGTGTTAGGTTGCATGTTATTTATTGGCATTAATTGACGCCTAAAAAAAGTCTTATTTATTTATTTAATCAATCACGTGCCGACACCATAATGAAAGTTGGCAGCGGTGAATTTCCAACAGCTGTCTTTGCCTTTGTTGTACACACTCTCAGACTGCTGTTGGCCTGTTTTTTTTATGTTGACTTCTTACATGTATCGTTACCTCCTAATCTATTTCTTTGACTTGTTCACCTTAGTATGGTTTTTGAGAGAGTGTGTTAGCAAAATTTCCACAGTGTGTGTGTGTGTGTGTGTGTGTGTGTGTGTGTGTGTGTGTGTGTGTTTAATTTCTTTTAGTAAATCTTTTTTTCCTACTTTCTAGTTGTCTGTTTTTGTACAAGTTTCTGCACCATATAGCAGTGTTGATTATACATCATACTTTGATGATATCTTTTTCCCAGTTCTTCTTTTACCACTTCAGGTGCCGAAAAGATATACACTTTCGTGCTCTGGCTTTTGTGGTCACTGGACACTGCTGCAGAGTTGTATCTTGCCACAAGTGATGCACTTGCTCCTGTGGTCAGTGCGACCCCAGACACTGGACACTGCTGTAGAGTTGTATCTTGCCACAAGTGATGCACTTGCTCCTGTGGTCAGTGCGACCCCAGACACTGGACACTGCTGTAGAGTTGTATCTTGCCACAAGTGATGCACTTGCTCGTCTGGTCAGTGTGATCGCAGACACTGGACACTGCTGTAGAGTTGTATCATGCCACAAGTGATGCACTTGCTCCTGTGGTCAGTGCGACCGCAGACACTGGACACTGCTGCAGAGTTGTATCTTGCCACCATGTTGTTGGTCCACCGCAGCTCTATGTCTCTTACGTCTTTCGAAGTCATGGCCGTGTTTGGGCACATGCAACACGTGTACCAAAACAAGGCAAAAACATTCTAAGGGCGAGGGGGAGAAGCCTGTAGTGAAGACAGATGTTAATATATGTATTTCTATGAATTATTATAAAAGCCAGATTATATTCGACTTCTGGCATTCATACCGTTAGTGCACCAACTCACAAGTTGATTTAAATTAGTCCGTGGGGTGGGGGTGGGGTGATGGTCGGTGGGGTGATGATCAGTGGCGTGATGATCGGTGGCGTGATGATCGGTGGCGTGATGATCGGTGGCGTGATGATCGGTGGCGTGATGATTGGTGAGGTGATGGTCGGTGGGGTGATGATCGGTGGGGTGATGATCGGTGGGGTGATGATCGGTGGGGTGATGATCGGTGGGCTGATGATCGGTGGCGTGATGATTGGTGAGGTGATGGTCGGTGGGGTGATGATCGGTGGGGTGATGATCGGTGGGGTGATGATCGGTGGGGTGATGATCGGTGGGGTGATGATCGGTGGCGTGATGATCGGTGGCGTGATGATCAGTGGGGTGATGGTCGGTGGGGTGATGATCGGTGGCGTGATGATCGGTGGCGTGATGATCGGTGGCGTGATGATCGGTGGCGTGATGATCGGTGGCGTGATGATCGGTGAGGTGATGGTCGGTGGGTTGATGATCGGTGGGGTGATGATCGGTGGCGTGATGATCGGTGGGGTGATGATCGGTGGGGTGATAATCGGTGGGGTGATGATCGGTGGGGTGATGGTCGGTGAGGTGATGGTCGGTGGGGTGATGGTCGGTGGGGTAATGATCGGTGGCGTGATGATCGGTGGCGTGATGATCGATGGGGTGATGATCGGTAGGGTGATGATCGGTGAGGTGATGATGGGTGGGGTGATGATCGGTGGGGTGATGATCGGTGGGGTGATGATCTGTGGGGTGATGGTCGGTGGTGTGATGATCGGTGGAGTGATAATCGGTGGGGTGATGGTCGGTGGGGTGATGATCGGTGGGGTGATGGTCGGTGGGGTGATGGTCGGTGGGGTGATGATCGGTGGGGTGATGATCGGTGGGCTGTTAATATATGTATTTCTATGAATTATTATAAAAGCCAGATTATATTCGACTTCTGGCATTCATACCGTTAGTGCACCAACTCACAAGTTGATTTAAATTAGTCCGTGGGGTGGGGGTGGGGTGATGGTCGGTGGGGTGATGATCGGTGGCGTGATGATCGGTGGCGTGATGATCGGTGGCGTGATGATCGGTGGCGTGATGATCGGTGGCGTGATGATTGGTGAGGTGATGGTCGGTGGGGTGATGATCGGTGGGGTGATGATCGGTGGGGTGATGATCGGTGGGGTGATGATCGGTGGGCTGATGATCGGTGGCGTGATGATTGGTGAGGTGATGGTCGGTGGGGTGATGATCGGTGGGGTGATGATCGGTGGGGTGATGATCGGTGGGGTGATGATCGGTGGGGTGATGATCGGTGGCGTGATGATCGGTGGCGTGATGATCAGTGGGGTGATGGTCGGTGGGGTGATGATCGGTGGCGTGATGATCGGTGGCGTGATGATCGGTGGCGTGATGATCGGTGGCGTGATGATCGGTGGCGTGATGATCGGTGAGGTGATGGTCGGTGGGTTGATGATCGGTGGGGTGATGATCGGTGGCGTGATGATCGGTGGGGTGATGATCGGTGGCGTGATGATCGGTGGGGTGATGATCGGTGGGATGATGATTGGTGGGGTGATGATCGGTGGGGTGATGATCGGTGGGGTGATGATCGGTGGCTTGATGATCGGTGGGGTGATAATCGGTGGGGTGATGATCGGTGGGGTGATGGTCGGTGAGGTGATGGTCGGTGGGGTGATGTTCGGTGGGGTGATGGTCGGTGGGGTAATGATCGGTGGCGTGATGATCGGTGGCGTGATGATCGATGGGGTGATGATCGGTAGGGTGATGATCGGTGAGGTGATGATGGGTGGGGTGATGATCGGTGGGGTGATGATCGGTGGGGTGATGATCTGTGGGGTGATGGTCGGTGGTGTGATGATCGGTGGAGTGATAATCGGTGGGGTGATGGTCGGTGGGGTGATGATCGGTGGGGTGATGGTCGGTGGGGTGATGGTCGGTGGAGTGATGGTCGGTGGGGTGATGGTCGGTGGGGTGATGGTCGGTGGGGTGATGGTCGGTGGGGTGATGGTCGGTGGGGTAATGGTCGGTGGGGTCATGGTCGGTGGGGTGATGATCGGTGGGGTGATGGTCGGTGGCGTGATGGTCGGTGGCGTGATGGTCGGTGGCGTGATGGTCGGTGGAGTGGGGGTGGGGTGATGGTCGGTAGGGTGATGGTCGGTGGGGTGATGGTCGGTGGAGTGGGAATGGGGTGATGGTCGGTTGGGTGATGGTCGGTGGCGTGATGATCGGTGGGGTGGGTGTGGGGTGATGATCGGTGGGGTGATGGTCGGTGGGGTATTGGTCGGTGGGGTGATGGTCGGTGGCGTGATGGTCGGTGGGGTGATGGTCGGTGGCGTGATGGTCGGTGGGGTGGGTGTGGGGTGATGATCGGTGGGGTGATGGTCGGTGGGGTGATGATGGTCGGTTAGATGATGATCGGTGGGGTGACGGTCGGTGGGGTGATAGTAGGTCAGCTGGTGGTCGGTCGGATGATGTTCGGTGGCGTGATGGTCGGTGGGGTGATGGTCGGTGGGGTGGGAGTGGGGTGATGGTCGGGGGGAGGCGGCCTCACCCTTTTTTGAAAATGAGAGTATTGTACTTCTAATAATGCATTGTAGTAACATTTTTTTTTTCCATTTTATTGAAAATAGAAAAAAAAGAGCAAAAATGAATAAGAGCTTATTAAATTAAAAGCAAGGCCGTTTTTTTGTTTTTATGAGTGGATGGTACATCTACTGTTACAAATTTGATCAATATAACATCTGTTTTTAACTAAAGATTAAGAAAACATTCCTTTTTTAACACCCTCCCCCCCCCCTCCCCCCTTTTCCACCCCAAACCACCCACGTTTTTCAGAAATGTTGGCTCGGGTAGGCGTGGAGGTCTCGTCGTATACTGACGGGGGACCCACCTTAAGAAGTCTAGAGACTAGAGACCGCTGTTGTAAATACTAGTTCTGATAGTTCATGCCCTGTGGCGTTGGTAGTCATGTTTATCCACAGCCTTCTTTGTCATTTACACACAATACCTTCTGATACAGATGATCTTCCAGGCCATGATCTAAGACTGTCCAGCATCTTCTCTCTTGGTCTGCCTCTGCCTCTTCTCCTCTCTAATTTCCCCACTGTTATGATGTGGTCCAGTTTTCTCCTTCTCGTGACGTGACCAAAGCATGTGGATTGTCTCCCTCTGGTGTAGGCAATCAGTTCTCTTCAATACTTTAATCCAGTTCACGTTTAAGGGAGATAATTACATCACCCACTGTTGGTGGTCTGTAAACGGTTATTGTTGGTAAAGTGAGGTCGAGTGACGAGGGGCGTCAAATCAGCGACGCTATCATAAGACTTTCTCTCTCTCTCAGCGGTCAAGCACTCGATAACGCTATTTCACTGGACTCTATAACAATTAAATGTTTTCTTTAAATGAGGTCAATGAAGCAAAGTCGCTTAGATGAGACGAACCTTGGACACCAAGCATGGACTCCTAATAATTATA